CACGCTAACACATGCACAAGCAAACACGCATAACAAATGCACACACACACACAGGCATATACAGAAAGACACACACACACACACACACACACACATACACACATTCTGGCATGCACCCTACAAGTTGGCTACTGCGTGCCAGAAACTTACGAATGATTATTGTTGCGACTTCGAATTGCACGCAGTAGCCAACTTGGGAACAGACACGCAGACACATGCACAGACCATTCATACACACACATCCATAGACATATACACAAAGACACACAAAAATCCACATAGGTTCATACATAGACGACACACACACACACACACACATGTCGATGACCTCATTGTGCGTTTCAGCTGGCAGAGAGAAGAGGACGAAAGACAAACTGTACGCATCATGTCAATGTCAGTAGCACAGGTGGAGGCTGCTCTTGCAGAGGTAATGAAGTATGCAAAGGAGGGCGTCTACTACAACGATGACAGCGAGTTGTCTTTGCTTCAGGACAGGGTGCTGAGGTACTTCATAATCGCTGTGGATATGAGATCTACAATCATGGCAAACGGCGAGGGCTGTGTCAAAGCACGAACACTCTTGCAATGCTTCAGAGAGTCACCACATGTACGTATGGACAATGATGTGGAAGACACTGCATACAGTCTAAGAGGAGTGGTCCAGTGGATCTGCAGCGAAGGGATGTGCGAAGAAGGAGACGTAAACATGACAATGCAACAGACAGGGGGGACATATACACCTGCAAACTTGAGCAAGTTGCTGGGCACTGTCGCACGGAATGGGGGAAAGCTGGTTGATGGGTCGAAGGAGGAGTTGAAGAGTGGTGCTGCAGAAATATTGGTGTTGTCCAGAATGAAGGACATTACACAAACACCGCCAGAAGACTTTCAAGATGTTTCTGTCATTGTCGTAGATGGTGTGGAATATATTCTGCTTGATCAACTTGTGGACTTCATGAAAAAGAGTGACGACGATAGGAACGTCATCCATGAGGCGTTGCACGAAGTGACAGAGTTTGCACTGCAGGGTCAAGATCTGATAAAATTTGTGCCAGCAATAACAGAAGACAACATCATATCAGGCAGACCGTTGTGGGGGGAGTTGTTATCAGTTGCTTTGGAGCGGCTCGGTCTTGCAAGCTGCGATGTTGAGAGACAAAGAGAAAGAGAAGAAGGGTGGAAGGTGATGGCCACGGAAACAAATTTAGCAATCATTTCAGACAATGGACAGACATCAGCAGCACAAGAATCAATAACGAGTATGGCAGTCGATGTGCCTCTCATGTAGACAACAACGAGAGAGCAGTTAGTGTGTTGCGATATCTTCAATGCTTTCACAATGGAGAAAGAACAATGTGATCGTGGATTTGAAGAGACCGATTTACCAAGTTGTTGTGCAGAGTACACAGACAGTGCAAAAGAAGAAGATGAAGAAGAGGATGAGGGGGCATCATCTTCTGACGTGGAAGTGAGCGGCAACGATGTTAGCAGCAACGAGGAAGACGAGGAAAATGATGTATACTATGATTTGAAGGGTGCGGGTGGACAAGTAAGAAAAGGGTGGGCATGTGCAATTCTGAGGTTGACACGTGTTTTTCCCGATCCGCACAAAGTGCTGCGTGTTGTGATGAAGGGGGCAACACCAGATGATGCACTACAGTATACCGCAGTGACCAGCATAATGAAATCATGCAACAAGTGAAAAAAATGGTCACGTGTTGGCAAGGGATGGTTTGTTCTGATCAATAGAGAGGCTGTGCTAGCAACGTCACTGACATAGGTAGTCAACCTGAGTTGCCTCATACATGGCGCAATGGCGACAGCTTGGGGAGAAACATTACACCCCGGCTTGTCAACAGGAGACGCAATAGTTAGTGCTCGGCCACGACAGCGACCGGAGACACACCCACAAACCACGACAGACCATGTTAGAGATCAGGGATAATGACAGACATGCATCCCTCAATCTGTACATCCCTCTATGTCTGCCTCAATTTCAAAGACGGTCGGGTTCACTACTGCATGCCATATCAGTGTCCACCGGTGCTGTTTGTTGTCGTTTTGACCCGCACTAGTGAACCTCCTCTCTCTCTCTATATATATATATATATATATCTTTCTCTCTCTTCTCATATGTCGAGTTGTAGCTGTATTAGAACCTCTACATCCATCTGCGGGTTACATTTGATGCTGCCTGTTGTTTGCCTCTCCAAGAGAGAGAGAGTTCACTACATCGTGCAGACACAGCATTAAACAATATTTCAATCATTTGATGATTGTTACGATGTATGTCATAATTTGTTGCTTTTTGGAGTACATGAGACACATCAGACCCCCTGTGATGACCAATGTGTCTATGTTATGTATTTGTTTTGCATTCTCTATAATTTAAATTCAAATGTTGTAGGTTGTGAAATGTTTTGGAAGTTTGTGCGTAGGTCGGCTGAGGTGCCGAGGTTCAATCATTTTCACGTTGACATGGAAAACACATACCACATTCACAAACGTCGTGGATGGATAGTTACGAACTTGGTCAGCCGCAAAACCGTGGTGATGAACGTTGTGTCATATATCGTGTACTATGCGTAAGTCGTTGCCTCTTCGTGCACGACCATAAAACCTGTCATGGTATATAAATTATCGTGTCGCACGGTTGACTACTAATCTTTGTCAATTGGGATCATCGACACAGACCATTCGTACTAAAAACGACAATCAGTACTCCCTCCCTCCCTATCTCTTTCTCACAGAGAAGAGGATGTGCGACACTTACACAATATAATAAAATATGCTCTGCAACTTATAATTCTAACGACCTCAACCAATCTACAAAATGCTAATGAAAACATTGTCCGCACCGCTCTGTCTGTTTTTGGAATGCACTGCGTGCACATAAAATGGACAGTGGTCCACGGGTGTGCGACTGTGGTAGACCTTTCATGTCATTATGAACTTTAAACTCATATCGTGCGAGGGCATGCCCGACCGTGGCGGACGAAAGAACACATGGCCAGGAGATGGGTGTGGTCGATGACGCCGGAGCATCAAGTATAGGTGCAGTGAATCTCGTGAGCGATGGGAGCGAGGACGTCGGGGCCCCCGAGAATGTAGACGGCGAGGGCCCAACTTGTGTTGTCGGTGGCCACTGGCAGCGACTTTTTTTCGAGGGAGGGACGGTTTGAGGCGAAGCAAAACCGGTTTGTGATGACAGTGTGCGTGTTCCTTATTTCTAATATTATACCGCGCTCGACAGGCAAGGGCATTACCGTTTGTTTTGTGAAACTGATGGAAATGTACATACGAGTGTTTCGGTGTACAACACACAGTTGTGCTTCGCTCGATGAATGCGACGCTTTGATCACGGACTTCGTAACGACCATCAAAGGAAAATTGGGAAAATATCAACCATCAACATGGAAACTCCCCAAGTTGCACGGTCCCATGCATCTGACAACGTGTATTGAGCGATCTTGTGTGCCCGACACCTTCGCGACAGATGTTTGGGAGCATCACCACAGGAAATTCTGCAAACAGCCATACCTGTGATCAAACAAGCGGAAAGCTTCAACCCAGATGGTAAACCATGTGCGGCGGTCATTGGCATTGCGCGAAGAGATCGGGATCGTGAGGAAACGGAGGAAGAGAACGGTTGAGAACCGGTCGTCCGTGACAGATTGTATGGCCACCAGAATGAACACCCTCGCACTACGCGACACGGGAATGCTGCAACTGCGGTGGTTCGACATCGATGACGAGTACATACATAAGGGAGAAGGCATTGACAACCATGCGTGTAAGATACTCGAAGAGCTTCCTTGCATATGCGATTTTCGAGCTGCGCTTACAACATACATGATGGAGAATGATTGTCAACCTCCTTCTGACGACCTCCTTATACACACACGGACACACCTGGTCATCGCTTGCGTACAAGACGGAACAAATAGGGGCACACTTGTTCAAACTGCAAGAGCGTCGCCACAGTTCCATGGGAGACCAGTGCACAGTGACGTCGCAATTAGAGCAGGCAACGAATGCACATGGTTTGCATCAGTAGCCATGTTTTTTGTCGTGGACGCACCCACGGATAGCGGTAATATAGAACACAACTGCGGATTTGTGCAATGGTACAAGGAGGTCGACAGTGAACGGCAACACATGACAGGTTGCAAGAAATTGAAATGGAAGAAGTTGAATGGACATCAACACACTAGCGTCGTTTCGACCGACACTATTGTAGACATAGTTCACATTGTTCCGCGCTTCTCTAAACCACAATGGGGATCGAAGCAGCATGCAAAACAGCGTGAGGACTGTTTTTATTTGAACAAGTACATATTATAGAAGAAACAAATGGAAACTAAGTTTCTATGTTTGCTAAGAGAGAGAGAGAGAGAGAGAGAGAGAGAGAGAGAGAGAGAGAGAGAGAGAGAGAGAGAGACAGAGAGAGAGAATTTCTATCTGTCGTCGCCACGGGACAGTCATGTTGTTTCTTCCGAAGTATAGGGGAACAAGAGAGGACATTCGTGTCTTTCTTTCCGTTATTTGTTGACAAATATCATGTCAAATGTGGCCAAGCTTATGAAGCGGTGAAAAACCACATGCGAGACGAAAGTATCCCCAAAAGTTCGCTACTGCGTGACATTTACGTGGTCAACAGTGATAGTCGTTTCAGTTTTGGCACGCAGTACCCAACCTACCTACCTCTCTCTCTCTCTCTCTCTCTCTCTCTCTCTCTCTCTCTCTCTCTCTCTCTCTCCGAAGTATCCTATAAAAATGATTTGAAGTTGTAAAAATAATTAACAAATCGTCTGTGTCATTCCAATTTGACCGACACGTGTGAACAGGAACAAAAACTTACGACGTCGCACAGCGTTCGGGAAGGAGCGACACAGAGCACTGAACAACAGGGTGCAGGTAAAAGAAGCGAGGATGACAGAGTCACAAAAAAATAACACATGTGGTGGCGGCGCGAAGTGCTCATATGTGGGTACGGAACCGGTCATTGGTCCAAGGATGGAAAATAAAGACGAACAGCACCGTTGAGAGTTGGCAAGCGAACCGTTGTTGCCATTGACCAGTGAGAGGTCAGCAAAGAGGTGGTAGAAAATGTTGAGGGACCCTTGGTACTTGGAAATGTACGATATAATAATAGAGGGTGAAGCAAAGTCTCCCCAATTGATATTCGAAGCACCAAGGGAAAAGCGAAAGTCGGAAATATGACGAGGACGAGAGAAGAGCAGACTGACATTAATGATGACGACGAACTGACCGTTGGCTTGACCGTTGAGGTCGTCAAAGGACGATGCGAGGAAAGTTCACTACTGCGCACATTTGTAACATAAAAACCGGTGGCTTCACCAGTTGATTGACCCGCAGTAGTGAACCTTCTCGCGGTGATGGTCGGGGACATGTTCGAAGTTTTTCTTTGCTCGCTATTTTTTTGTTATTGTGACTATCCGAACCCGTGCCGCCTGACAATACGGATACAGTCATTCTGACGCACAAAGAGGTTGGTGACTTAAATGACGTCGCAGTATCAACAATAAGATCTTGGTTGTGCCTCTCTCTCTCTCTCTTTCTCTCTCTCTCTCCACCTCACATTGCCAACAACCGTTTTTTTTTTTTTTTTTTTTTYTTCTCTCCCTCTCTCTCTCTCTCACTGCGGCCATTACACTTCAGGGGTGTATGGATCGACGCACGACATTGCTGACGCAGTTGTTATTCATATTCCACTTTGATGTATGTGGGGAAAAAAAGGTCATGGCTCCAAAGCCAAAATACGAGGATCTGTGCAGGTCTTTGAAGGGCGTGGGAAAGAAGAACAAGGGGAGGAAGAAATGCAAGGCTGATAAGAAAAAAGAAAGGAGAGAGGATCGCAGAAGCAGATTCCAGAATGCAAAAACGGAGCGGACCAGAAGCCGCAGAAACGAATCAAAAATTTCTCTCTCATCAAGTGAGAGGGGGATTTCAAAGCAAAAATAACGCAATGAGTCACCCCCTGCGACTCCTGCCCCACTGAACCATGTCAGCGGCGTCGAGAACCGTCCACCCAAGGCCCCCGAGAAGAGGTCGTGGGAAGACGGAATGTCAAAGGTGCACCACAGGACAAAGAAGAGAATCACGTACAAAAATGACAAAATGGTGGAGATGATCGATCTGAGAGCTTCGGACGATGTGCACAGCGCGGCCTGAGAGGAAGCAGAAGAGAAACACGACCAGTCCATATCAGAAAAGTCTGACGGGGAGGAGAACGAGGCAACAAGTGACGAGGGAGGTGACAGTCAAACTTACGACGGACATTCTCGCGACGCTCACGACGTTGATGACGAGGACGGCAGGAGCAGCGACGGCACAGCGTAGGACGAGGGCGGTGACGGGGCAGGCGAAGACGACAGAAACGCGGATGGAAGAGGGAGTTCCCCATCTCCGGGAAGAACGCGACGCACGAGGGAAGCCGAAAGTGGTGGCGGGGGAGGCGCAGCCGACGCGCCCTCCGTTGACTGACAACTAGTGAGGCACGACAACGTAGTTAAAAAAGGTAAACAAAATGTGCTGTGATGAACTTTCCAAGTTGCTACTCTTGCACAACGATTACGTGGTGACGGCGCTAAGTGACGTCATTTCTTTATTGCGAGGATGTCGCTGTGATGAACTTACTGTTGAAACGGGCTGTTGAATTTGGCAGGTGCGAAAATGG